AGGAGTTGGATGATTATGTAAAAAAGAAAAAATCATTTTCTAGTCATTTTAATAACAATTCATGGAATTACTAAAAATGAAAGGATGCATGCTGTTTTGGAGTTTTAAGATGATGTTCTGGGTCACTTATAAAAGCAGACTTTGTTCAGACAGTGCTAATGCAGGATTTTCTTTGACAACTTGAAATGATTCATTTGTTATTTACAAGAGGTGGGGAAAAGTGGCATGTATTAAGTCTTAATGGAATGGTGGAGCAAGAAAACATTTTCTAATTATTCTCTGCTGAAAATATACCAAATAGATTGCTTGCAGCCTGATAAATAGATAGCTACATATAGATCGCTAGAATATTTGCCTTTTCTACACACACGGACACAATTTGTTGTCAGTGTAATGACTGCATGCCCATCCAAAAACATTACATTTCAGCAAATAAGTAATGCGATACTTATTCTGAGCATCAGAACCAACTCAGCTTGCTGGAACTTGAGTGTTAAAGAAACAAGTGTGAAGTTTTAATAGTACATGCTACGCAATGTCAGCAGAGTGGGAAGAATGGGAAAAGCACTCATTATTTTAACTGGGAGTGTTTGCCCATTATTCATTAGCTATCCCACGTGCTAACCTGGTAGCCAAGCCAGTCAGCATCAACAGAGAAACAACACCAGGCAAATCAAAACTAATTTCCCATGTTGGGATGGAGATAGGGAGACAGGGAGGAAGATGGAGGAATGTATTTCTGTATTGCTGTGAGTTGGCTTGACTTGTCATTTTTGTTTTTTTCATGTTTTATGGTGGCTGGCAAACAAAGTGTGCTACCACCACCTGCTGCTATGGAATGGCCTTACCTGACTGCTTTAGAAAAACAGACTACAGTAGTCAAATTTAGGGTGGGTGTGGTACATTTTTTACTTTGTGTACATTTCAAAGTTATAGTTCCACTTACCCTTCTGAAATCACCAACAGCCTTTTCTGCTTATGTATGTAATGAAACAAATACACCATCACAACTGAACAGGTCTCAAATCGACCTCTTTCTTATCAGTAATTCCCTTCCCCAACATGTAATAGACAGTACCATCCACTCCATTATAATTAGTGATCACGCTCCCATTTCCCTCACATTAAATATTGAAGCTCACACTAAACCCTCTAGAAGATGGTGCTTCAATACATCATTACTTCAGGACTTAGATTTTATTACCTTTATTGAAAAAGAGTGGGAATTCTTTCTGGAGATGAACGACTCTCCAGAAATCTCACCCTCTCCATTATGGGAAACAGGCAAAGCAGTAATCAGAGGAAGAAAAATATCATACCAAAAAACAACAACAACAACAAAAAACAGCTAGAACTGGAAGGCACCTTAGAACATATGATTAAACAAGTCACAGATTTATATTCCCAAAACCCTAGCAAACAAACACAAAATGAATGGAGCAAAATGAAAAGACAACTTGAAAATATTATATACAAAAAAACACAGTTTCTCATTCAACAACTCAAATATAAACACTTCCAGTACAATAACCATATTGGCAAGTATTTGACAAATCAATTACAACGCAAAAAGGAAAAAGCATTAATTCCATCCATACTTAATCCTAGAGGTGAAATTGTCCATAATCCACAAGATATAATGTATTTCAAGCCTTCTATAGAAAACTTTAGTCTCCCATTTACAACCCAAATTCATCAGAAATAGACAATTTAGAACTGCCAACACTATCCAGAGAACAAGCTGACATATTAGAAGCTTCTCTCACCATCAACAAACTCCATAAAGCACTGATTTCAATGCCAAATAACAAATCACCCGGACCTGATGGACTACCAGCTGAATTTTATAAACACTTTTGGCAAATGCTATCACCGCTGTTTCTCAGAGTCACCACAGAAAGACACCTCCACAATACCAACACACATGAACACAGCCTCAGACACTCATTAAAACCAAACAAAGACCCAATCCACCCTTCTAGTTACTGTCCCTTATCGCTTATTAATTCAGATTTAAAAATCATTACCAAAGCTCTAGCCACTAGAATAGAGACAGTCACCCAGACCAAACAGGTTTCATGAAAAATAGGAATGCTTCAGACAACATCTGTAGATTATTTAATTTGATTAATCTTGCAGAACAAAAACAAACCAAAGCCATACTTTTATCACTATATGCAGAGAAAGCATTTGACAAAGTTAACTGGACATTCCTCTTTTGTACATTACTCAGGTTTGGGTTTGGATAGTCGTTCATCCACCTCACCTAGGGCAACAATAAGTACAAATGGAATCAGGTCACAAAGTTTCACTTTACAGCAGGGTACCAGACAAGGATGCTCACTCACACCATCATTTTCATGAAGCCTCTAGCAGCAGCAATACAACAGAACAATATAATTACATGAATACAAGATACTTACTCAGAACATAAAATTAAAACAAAAAATGTGTCTTTATGCAGATGATTTATTATTATACATATTTACAGGACACCTACAACTCAGTACAAGAAACATTACATATTATTAACATATTCTCTAAGATCTCAAACTACACAATAAATTGGAACAAATCCACCATATTGCCACTCTCTGAGGATGCCTGGGATTCTGCAGCTCAAGACTCCTCCCTCCAACTTTGCACAGGAAACATTAAATATCTAGGTATAAATATGTCCCCCAGGCTGTCAGAACTTTTTAACCTCAACTATACCCCTCTGCTAAAAAATATAGAAGATGATTTCAAACACTGGTCCAATATTCCTCTCTCACTCATCGGCTGAATTGCTACTGTCAAAATGAAAACTCTACCTCAAATTAACTACCTGTTTACAATGCTTCCCACAACACCCACAGATAAATGGTTTAAATCACTTGATTCTATAACTTCACAATTTTACAACAGTGCATGGATAGAACAACAGTTCATGGATAGAATTAGAGCAAAATTACTATAAAAATAACCAATAACTAATAACCCTTCCTACCCAACTATATTAAAAAAAAGAAATTACTGTAAGAACATCATAATTTTCTCAACTCTGACAGCCTGGTGGAAAGCAAACAGTCACTAAATCATCACTTGCACCATGTAGATACACTCCAATTTGGCACAACCCTGATTTTCAACTACATAATAATCATATCTATTTCCCAACATGGCAACATAAAGGAATCACCCACTTACATCACCTATTTGAAAATAACCAGTTCATATAATTAATTACACTGATCCAGACGTACAGAGTTCAGAGAGAACAGTTCCTCCAGTACAATCAATTCAAATCCATAATTAAGTTAAAGATTAATGTAATCAATAACCCACTACAACCCTCCAAATTAATTGAAGAGATTATGAAAATTACAGATTTCAAGAAAATAATATCTTCTTCTCTCAGCTGTTCCCGTTAGGGGTCGCCTAATCATCTGTTTCACCTAACTCTGTCCTCAGCATCCTCTACTCTCACCCCAATTAACTTCATGTCCTCTTTTAGCACATCCATATATCTCCTCTTTGGCCTTCCTCTTGACCTCTTGCCTGGCAGCTCCATCTCCAACATCCTTCTACCAATATAACCACTATCCCTCCTCTGCACAT